TTGAGCTTGTGTTTCTAGTTATATACTCTCATATTCATAAGTTTATATTGTATTTTTGAGAGAGTATAATTTCCTTCTACACCGGCTAAGTTTTGTTCTTCATTTTTATATTCTAGCCGTTGTGTAGAATCCTCTTTTGTGTTCTTCAAACACACCTTCTTACGGTCGAGAATAGCCGTTAAATTCTCATATTGTATCGGTCGAGGATAGCCGTATAAATCCTTGGGTAAAGGTTCAAGGATAGCCTTTGAAATCCTTGGGGGAACGGTAGAAGATAGCCGTTAAATCTTCGTTGTAAACGGTTCAAGATAGCCGTGGTGAAATCTCGGAGTGAATCCTATTGGCAAGGGTGTTTGCCAAACTAGTGCGGTGCTTTGACGGAGTTCAAGAGACCGAGACTTAGTGGATTCGGAAATCCTTGAGGAGGAGCCTTGAGGTACTGGAGTAGGGAGTTCCCGAACCAGTATAAAATTGGTGTGCATTTTATTTACGCTTTTATTTCTGCGTTTTATATATTGCTTCCGCATTTGCCAACACCATTTTTACTTAACTCCGAAAAGTTTTTAAACGCCTTATTCACCCCCCCCCCCTCTAAGGCGTGGGAACAACGACTAAACCGACTAACAAGGATGTTTCTAAAGTCCAGAAACGTGATGCAAGTGCTTCTTCTGGCTCTAAGAACTCCAAAGAGAAGTCTTACTGCAAGTTCTGCCACAAGGAAGGACATAGACAGAAAGACTGCCAAGACTTTAAGGAGTGGCTCACAAAGAAAGGTAATCATCTTTACATGATACTTGAGTCCTTTAATTTAAATGTTCCAACTAATACATGGTGGTTTGACTCTGGTTCTATGGTTCATGTAACCAACTCACTTCAGGGATTCCTTACAATCTAGAAGCTGAAAAGAAACCGAAGAACACTTAAGCTGGGGAATGGAACAGAACTAGCTGTCGAAGCTGTGGGAACCTTAGAATTAATAATGAAAACTAGTTTATGTATTAAACTTTATGATGCCTTATATATTCCTGAGATTACTCGGAATTTAGTATTAGGACCAAAGTTAGACATAGACGGTTTTGATGTTTCTCATGGTCATGGCAGACTTACTATTAGTTTCAATTCTCAAGTGTTTGGTCATGGTTTTCAGGATGGTGGTCTCTATAAATTAGAACTAGATGATGATTTTTCCAAATCTTTGTTGTCATATAATATCAATCAGACACTAACAAAGAGAAAACGAAAACGAGACTTAGAAACTTCATCCATGTTGTGGCATCAATGCTTAGGCCACATTTCACGAGAACGTTTATCTAGACTCGTGAAGCATGATGTGTTACCATCTCTCGATTTCAATGATTTTGGAACATGTGTCAAATGCCTTAAAGGTAAAATGACATCAGTGAATAAGAAAGGCGCTACTAGGAGTTCTAATTTATTAGAGCTCATTCACACTGACATTAGTGGTCCTTACTCTATCACTAGCATAACTGGACATAACTCACTTATCACTTATATTGATGATTATTCTCGTTATATGTACTTGTATCTTATTAAGGAAAAATCTGAATCACTTACAACTTTTAAAGATTATAAAACTGAAGTTGAAAAACAACTTGATCGTCAGATAAAAGTTGTAAGATCAGATAGAGGAGGTGAATATTATGGTAGACATACTGGCGTGGGTCAAGCTCCTGGTCCATTTTATGAGTTTTGTAAGGCCCAGGGGATCGTGAACCAATATACTATGCCTGGTACTCCTCAGCAGAACGGTGTTGCCGGGAGAAGAAATAGGACCCTAATGGACATGGTACGCAGTATGTTAGCCAACTCAGGTTTACCTCTATTTCTCTGGACCGAGGCCTTAAAAACAGCCGTTCATATACTCAATGGGGTTCCTTCTAAAGTTGTCCCTAAAACTCCTTTTGAACACTGGACAGGAAGGAAACCGAGTCTAAGATATATGTGTTGGGAAAAATATCATAGATTTTGATGATGATGTATTTAGAATGTAATAGGGACTTTAGGTCTTCCCCAATATTCAATGTAATTTTTCTTTTTAGAAATATTGTTAAAACCAAGTTCTTGAGTTTTCCAATAAGGTTGTGATATTTCTTTAAGCGTTTTGATGCCTGAAGACTTAATCAAATTCAGTGATATGGAAATTGGATATCTTAATCGGAAAAGCTAGAGACAAGTAAGGATTTCTCAAGCAGATGAAAATCCTCTGTTCCGAAAGACTACATAAGAACCGGATGTCTCGCTACAACCCGCTGAAGGCTAAGTCACCCAAATCGGAAGACTAGCGCGGATCTCTCTCTCACCCGGAAGTCTGAGAATGACTTCTCCGGATTTGTCAGCGAAGAACCGGATGCCTCAAGGAAGACCGGAATTCTCAGAAGACGGACAAG